TACTTCTCTGTAAAGAATTTATAAGTATTTTTTTTTTAGTCTATTTGGATACTTTTCCAAGATTTGGTGTACGTCTTCATAATTTACGGTTATACATAATTATGATCTTGAAAAATTTTTTCTGCGTATATTTTATTACTTAATTAGTATGACATAGTTATTTTCACAATTATTACCGTTATTTTATCTTACTACATCTTAAATTTATAAAATAAGGATTATACTTCTTCGTGAAATAAACACCTTTTTTTCAAGAGGTTCGGTCGTTTTTGAGGAGATTTATTTACTTGCTGAAAAAAATTCATGTTGTCCTTCAACATGCTGGTAGTACATACAAATTTTTTAAACATTTTTTATCAGACGAATTTTTAAGAAAAAAATTTCTGAAATTGCATGATTTAACATTGCTATTTTGGGCGATGGCGAGTATTCAGCCTTTGTTGCACAAATTTTGTGGCTATAGAGATTTATTCATGATGAGAAAAAAGTTTAAATAGATAGCGTAATTTTTAAAAAAGACTCTCGTATCAAAAAATGTGCACCTTACCAGGCATTTGGAAGAAATATCTGTGCAAGCGTAAACACAGTCTTGAGCAGGTCTTATGCCAAGTGTGTGAAAAAGAACCGAGCATCGTCTACTGTCAGCTAGTCTTTTCATACGGAGCGAGATTTCTTTACAAAACTGCTTCTAGAACTTGTTAAACTGTAAGTCATGATCTAAAAACTTGGCCCAGCCTTTTTTAAGATTTTAACCATAATACTGTGCCAAAAAAAGTTTGTTTTTCGAAAACTTATAACATACTTTTGTTGACGAAAAATAAGTATTTTCTTACTTTTTTTTAGGTTACTTTTTATCATGCAAACAACATATTTTCATGTTTATGCATACGATGTTGTAAGTATACAAAGTCGATGGGAGGTCACAGAGGCATTAGAGACGGCAAAACAATTACTTTCAAGCTTGTACGACCGACGAAGAAAGTATTTATTGGGATAATGATGTGAAAAGCATAGAATGATATTTTGTAAAATGTACACGTAGTTGAAATCGTACTGTTATATGAATAAGGAGATGAGATTCAATTCAAAGTTATAAGCTTTCTATTAATAGAAAGAATTTAAACATTAACTATTGTGATTATTAGTAAATTACTCTAAGTAAATCGACGTAATCGCTTAAAAATTTTTTAAATGTATAATCTTTAGTATCTCTTTTACTGTTAACTACATTTTTCTTAATGAATTGTTAAATAAAAACTTGTTTTTACTATTTTAAATTTCAATGGCAATAGAAGATCATGAGACCTTGCCATAAATATTTATGTAACTAAATGTATCTAACGTAAAGTTTTTATAAGAGTCTTGTTGGTCACTCCAAGTACAACAGTGACAGTTTGAAAATAGTCGCAAGACTTTGATAGGGACCAATTGTCTAACGTAAGGAAATTTTTTTTT